CCCCCCCCCCCCCCCCCCCCCCCCCCAAAAAAAAAAAAAAAAAACATGTTGGCAGCGTTGCCCTGTTAAATGCCTGTTATCAACTGTTCCAAACTAACAACCGAGCTCATTTGCAGAGGAGCTCGAGTCAACAATGCTTGATGCTACCTGTCTGAAGCGGGACTCATTGATACGAGCCGCTACACTCATTCATAATCATGCAGAGTGGAGCGTGACAGCATTAAGCACTAAAATGAAGAGCGACCATTGTACTGAGCCGTAATGTGAACGGTGTCTTGGTGTCCTAATTCTATTGTGTGTGTTTGTATATAAACATAGATTTGCTCTTCTGCATAACCACAACTAATAATACCAGACAAACCTTATTGCCATGGTCGGTCATAGCTCCTGATTGTTTGGGGTGATTCTCATTCTATGCTGGTACCCAGAGTGGAAAATTGATCAAAGGGCAGAATAAGCTCCAGTTCCTCTTGCTCCGTTGGTCAATCATGCTCTCTAAGACCAGATAGACAAAAGTTTCTTCAGCTTTTCAGCCACACAGAGCAATTATTTCCAGTATAGCTCACTCTGTCTTTACCACCCCTTGAAAGTGATTTATGTCGCCAATACGGAAGGAAATTGGGATCCTGAACTCCAATATTAGCTGGTTGCCGATTACGGCCTCGTTCTAATTTTACACGCGCTAGACTTCCATGTTATACTCAGTAGACAGTATAATGTCCTAGTTTAACACCCAACCAGGAGGCAAATGGGTCAAAGCTCCCGTTTTTTTTTTTTAAACTGGTCACAGAAGAACGTCGGCCACTGCAGCTGTCGGAGAAAAAGAAAACAACTTTCTCGGTGAAAAATTGGATTTGAGCAAGGCCTTCTTTTTTTCCCGCTGCTATACTTGAGAGTTTTGCGTCACAGAAAGAATCCTTTTGTCACCGCAAGATGTTTTTGATTTTCTCGTCATCCCATCTCTAAAAACACCCACGAGAGCCGGCTGTTAGATGCGATAAGAGCTTTCTCTCTGTTCTCTTTCTTTAAATCACTCTCAAAATACTGATGTGCTGTTGTCTTTGATGGTTAGATTGCTCGACTCGGCAACGTGACCACACACACGTGCAGTACACACTACCAGGGATACTTATTAATAGAAAGTTCATCAACCTCTTCCTTGTTATTACTAAGAACAGCTATTTGACATGTCAGAGCTACCCGGGTACTGCTGTCTGTGTGAAGTGGAGAGGATATTTCCGGTGATACGGTTACAAGTGCAGGCGTTTCACAGACCAGGACAAATCGCTGTCAATTACTCATTCAACAATCGGATGGAGCCATTTTCTGTTAAGTGTATTTTGCTACTGCTATTTTCCATCTCCTGTCCTGTTGTGAGGTTTAAACTTTAGTATTCTACTGTGAGAGGGAGTAATGGTAGAGGCCACACTGTTCTATGCTCGTTCTCAATAAATCTGAACTAAAATAACACCTTGTTTTTTTTAACCAAAGCGACCAACACCTCCACATTTTAGTTTTTGGAGCCTCATTGACTGCCATAGGCGCTCATCGGGGATTCATTTAAGAATCAGAATTAAGAATCAAAGATGCATCGTGATTATCCTCACCTGCACGGTCTGACAGGCAGACTACTCAAGTGTAGTTTTGAGAGACATCCAAGAAAGAATTGCAGCAACTACGGTTGCCACTGATTTCTTTTCGAGCAAAGATGCACAGACAGAGGAAGACCATGTTTTTTTTTTTTTATTTTATTTTTTTTGGGATTGTGGTTCATATTGTTAACCTCTCGCCCAAACCGACAGCAGCAGCAGACTAATATTAGCACTCACCTTTGCTCCATGTGTCAGTCTGTCTGGCTCTGTCTTTCTCACGACTCTCTTGCGATACACACACACACACACACACACAGTCAGTAAATTAGCTCCACTTAGCTCCACCTGTTTCCCAGGCTCAGTACTATCCTCTCTCTCACGTCTCTGCCTACAAAGAGCAGAACAGATGTGATTGCCAGAGGACTAAACCGAACATTTATGACGGTTGCTTAAAAACAACATAAATGCCAAGTTAATGGAACTCATGTGCAGTCTCCATTTAACACACACTTAATAAACACTGGTCGTCAAGCTTTAACCCTTTAACCTACTTTCTTCTTCTTCTCTCGTCGTTGGAGCCTCCCCAGTGTCTCTATTTGTGTTTGGATGTATTATAACTGCACAATATGACAAGCAAGTGGGCAGAGTCATGCAGTCTAAAAAGTAAGAGAGTCACCACTCGGTTCAGTGAACACTTCATGAGAATCTCTGTCTTTTTCTCTACTATTTTCTACAGCAGCAGTTTTGTGATGGTGGTAGCTAATTACGATAACCTCCACTCATCTCTGCCTCCAGCCTTTTGTGTTTTGAAAAGAGAAGGCTGGAGATCTAGTAGGCTGTTGAAACACCTACACACACACACACACACACACCAGCTCTCTCTTCCACACCAATACTTGTATCACAATGCACAGACAGGACCCGTGATTTTAGTTGTTTTATTCAGGATTTTTTGGTCTCATCAAGGAAGAGTTTGTGGAGCCGCTTCCTTGATGGCGACTGGGCAAGAGATGTGAGGGCAGCTGGAGAAAGTCCAGACAAGAGGATATCCGCTTTTCTGATAGAAGTTTTACTACTTTGTGTTGAACGTTTTAAAGGGGAAAAAAAAAAATCTGCCTACCAGCTCCTCCAAATTACATTCTTCCCTCTCACAAGCCTGACGTTTGTGGATGTGTTTAGTTGAGCATGTGATTTATATACTTGGCTATAATTGGACAATTATGTTCTCCCATTGCCACTGTAGTGGGCGTCATTTTCAAGTCCAGGCACCTCTTTGAGATTCAACCACGTTGAATGAGAAAGCAGTTCACCGCCTTCACCGCCATTTCCCCACATTTGTTTCAGGAGCTAACGGCTCGGCTGCTAACCGCTGTGCTTGCTTCCCAAAGGAGTCGAAAAGAGCACTATCGGTTTGTCTCTGGGTCGTCACTCCCGCAAAGACAATTGAACTTAACTTAACTTCTTCAGGTCACACCGCTGTGTAACTATAGGAAGTAATAATAACCGAGGTGCAAAGAAGCAGGCTTTGGCAATCATGCGTCTTGATGGTATCAAGCTCCTGAGACACCGGATCGTTCCTGTATACAAAGTGATACCGCTAACACCTCAATGTTGTTTATAGCACGCAGATCCAGAATCTCAAGAGTGTGCGAGTGTGATTTGTTTCAAATAGATTTGCAGCTTTTGTCTCGTCTCAAGATGTCGTTTACGTCAACTCATAATCTGCTGATGGTTGTTTTCCTCACTCATCACAATATCACAGTCACGTCTTTCAGTCTAAGCCTCATTATTTGGGTGAGAACAAAGCAAGCGGATGTTTAAAGTGACATTGCAGAGTTAATGACGTTAAATCTTTGTACAAATCCAGGTTGCAAACATAAGCTGTCACAACGGTTATACAAACTGTGATAATAGGTCTGATATGTAATGTCTGAGTGATTCAAATTCTTTACTTTCATTTGATCTGTTGAACACAGTGACACATTAATTTAACTTGGTGACATGTTCATTACTGTGGGAAACGCTCTCCGACATGAAATATTGGTGCCACCAAATTATGCGCCCATGCCACTAATGGGAAAATGTCAGCCACGGCAGGAGCAAAAAAATCGAGGTCTTTGGGGGTTTTGAATTCAAACAAGTCGTTGCCTGGTTTAATTGCAGTGTGGTTTACTGTGAAATTGTACGATTGCTACCTTTTTGAATTTGCAGAGCAGATATTACACAAAGCATATTTCAGTTCATGCCCACATTCAGCCACACTTCTGCTTGTTGTTTTGTAGATGTTGCTTGATTTTGGAGAGTTGCTTCTTGCGTTTTTCTGATATCTGACACCAACTTTGACAGCATGACTGATCAAACTACAGTGTAATCAAAGGCTTCATCGCATGTAGCGTATATAGGCCACATCGTTACTGTCAGCTTGGAAGAATGAGTTTATTTTATTCATGTCAAGTGTTCATCATGAAATATGTCTCTCAAGTGTCATATTCAATCAGATATTATCCGTATCCAAATTCAGAGCCTATCTGTGATTGAGAGATTGCCTCCACACGGCTCTCAACATGGCGACGGCGGAGAGCGACTGCCTTCTCTACTCGGGATGCCATTGCTCCACTTCTTTGCTGCTTTTTTTAATGCTCTGAATTTCAAATGTAGCACCTTTTTGCTGTGTATTCACTTTGTAAAACATCACATGGAGGAGTTTCCTGGTGGCAGAGGAAGACTCTGTCATTAGTTCACTCTTTTGGGAAAACCTTACAGGGAAAGAGAAGGCAGTGGCTCTTTTTGAAATAGTTTTTCTTCACCATGGGGGTGTCACACAGAGCTGCTCCACCCTGGCTCTCTGTTTGTCTGTGTAAATGATTGTCTGGGTATAAATAGGCCGACAGTCTGGCAGGGCCAGGTGGTCTAATCTGCCGGTTCAGCGTCCCGCTCTCTGCCTGGCAAGGTGGTGTTTGTCCTCACGTTAACATTGGCCTCAGTGTTCCCAGATGGGCTGCTTGTTGTATGTTGATGAAAAGGTGGCCTCACTCACAGATACATTTTTTTATCTTTTATACACGGGAGACATCTGATATTTCAATAATTGGAAGGCATAATATCAAACGTATCATTCGTGTTCACTTACGTGTTGACATTTGAAAGAGTGTGAACTACAAACTAAAGCTGCAACAATGAATCGATTAGTTGACTGATAGAAAATGTACTATTTTAATTATGTATATTAAATGTTAAAGCCATTTCTCAAGTAAATATTTAATGGTTTCAGCCTCTCAAATGTGAAAATGTGCTGCTTTTTATTGTCTTAGCATTATGGCAAACTGAATATGTTCAAGCTCTGGATTGTTGGTCGGATAAAACAAAACATAATTTGCAAGAGTCAACGATTAATTAATTATTTTAGAAGATAATTGGCACATTAGGGCTTAATGTTTCACTTTTTCATAAAAGGCAAACTCTGCTTGCCTTTTATGTAAAAGAAGCGGAAACGTAGGATTTAACTGTTTCTTTTACCCATATGTAATGTTTATTGTTCTGTTTTTAAAGAGAGAAATTGTCAATGCATTCACTTATGTCTCCTTGTATCCAATTTCCTGCCACCTGGAAACAGTATGGCTGCTGAATACTCAGCCTAACAAGGTTTTCCCCCTGGTGACAGTTTGGGAACAGCAGGAGCAACAACCATCGTTACTGTGTGGTTACAACAACCTGACACTTTTTTTTTTTTTAACTTTTGGATACATTGTTCTTATAGTGTACGGTAACCGTTACAGGCAATTATTTCAAGCTTGACTCCCTCTGGGCATGGAGATATTGATTTCTTATCATCTGGTTTTATATACTTTGGTTAGTAAAACAATAACTTTCATCCGTTATTTTTCAGTTTTTGGTGGCCAAGCCGGTTTAACCTTTTCCCCCCCTCGTTCTGTCTTGTCCCTAAGTCGTCGTGTCCGTCTCCCCCGCCATCACTCTCCCCCAACCTAAATCGTCTCCCATCAGAGGTGCCAACATGTCACCGGCAGCGCTAAAGTCTAATAGCTATGGGAACATTTTCTCTGACACCTGCGGCAAACATGAAGCCTGCTGGGCTGCGGGGAGAACAGAGGGAGGTTTATCTGGGATGGCAGGCCTGGCTTGCATCCCCATGCCGGCAGAGACGGCGGCGCTGAGCTCGGCGCTTTACAGCCAGATAAGGCCCCCAGACAAAGAGGCACCGCGGAGAGACCCCCACTCACTACAACGGAGGGGACGGGACGAGATGTGTGACTAACAAGCCTCGACAGTTTGCTCCAGTTAAATACCCGACTTTCAGCCTCTGAGTTAGTAGAAGTTATAGGTGTAAAACTAAAGGTAGTCATTATGCAGAACGGAAGATCTCTCTCTCTCTCTCTGTCTGTATATAAAAGTAGGGCAAAATGGCCCCCAAAAAATCATCTTTAAAAAGCCTCTTCACAATATATAAAATATCAACTGCCTGATTAGTCTATTTTTTTTTGTTTTTGCCATTTTGTGACATTATGTAAATGTTTCATCACACTGGTGTTTAACTCACTGATTATTGGTCACATTATTGTGCACATGTGACATGGAGACAGATCATGCCTCATAATAAGAGTAGTAGTTCATAGTTTATTTTTCACATTTCTCAGTGAGAGAGAAATGCGGTTATTATTTTAGCTAGAAGTGAGTGTGTGTGTGAGTGCGTGCGTGCGTGCGTGCGTGCGTGCGTTTAGGCTGTTTGTCGGTGAGTAAATGCTACAACACTTCAAGACCCAAGCCAAGTTCCTGTGTCTTGCCACCTGCTGATTAAAGGGTCACCTGTGCCCCAGGTTCACTTAAGGTGGACTGACCTTTAAGGTGGACCAGCTATTCTCATTTTAATGACAAGCTGCTCACCAGCTTTTAGCAGCGACCAGACCTTCAACAGCAGGTCAATTTATATTCTTTTCATTCAAAAGAATAGATTTTTTTTCTTCTTTTAAATGTCTGGAAGAGCCCAGTAATACAATTGTCAAATCATGTTTCAGTTTCTCTTTGTGAGTTGCTATGAATGCACCTGATTGTTTTTTTTTTTTATGGGCATATGATATCGTCAAAATTAGCAAAGCCACCTTGACTGCGATCCTGCTCCTCGTCGTGATCTTTGCTTTCTATCGCAGTGAATGAAACCATCCAAATACGGAGGCCGCTCAGAATAGTCTCATTGAATGAGACAAGGTGAACCTTTTCACTGTCGCCGTGTATCACGAAATGAACAAAAGCATGTTAAAACTTTTCCTGTGAGGAGTACAATTAAAGCACAATATTGCCTGATCATGTACAATACATCCATTTGGCGATGTGGTGGTAAAATAAACTGCTGAACTCAGACGGTGGTAAATAGAAACCTGAGCCGTCGATATAAACAACAGGACTCCAGTTCTCAGGTGTGTAAAAATGTCATGCTGAGTCCTTTCTTCTATGTCAAGACAACATGTTAAGACAGTGTACTGTGCTGTATTTGAAATCTTTAGGATATACCACTACACACTGTGTGTTATCTGTGAGTGGGATGACTATAGGTGGTGTGCAGACTATAGAATATTCTCGTGTTCAGTGCACGCTGACACTTTACAGCCCATTATGTACAAAAAGAACTGAATCCCTTTTGACTTTCCGAAGTAACGCATGATTGCACAAAAGCAATTATATCGACAGGCACAGATTTTTAGTTCTTTATTCCACATTTGCAGGGAGCTTACTTTAGCGAGCACCTTCCTCGGGTAGATCTTCCCTTCTTTTTTTTTTTGCAATATCCTTCGTCTGCATTGCATCAACACTGCACATTAACAAGTCTTTGAAGGATGAAGCCACAGCTAGAGCTCGGGACTCTGAAATCAGCTTCTTTGTTGGGCAAACCTTGGCAAGCAAACTTGAGTCACACAGTGTGCCACGAGACGCGTGCTCCATCCAGCCTGTAATCATGAATATAGTGGATTTATCTCCAAACACTTGGATGTGACCGGGAATAAGGCAGGTCAGGATAGAGTGTGCATCCTCTAAGTCCTTTCCCACATCTTCATGCAGAAATAAACATGCAGCTTGTATTTTCATGGTTAATTTTATGTGTTCTTGCGATAAGCAAAAGAGGTTTATCAACGCAGACTGTTTTCTGGATTGAGTTAAGTTTCCCCCGAATAGTGCACGCCTTGTATTGAGTCCTTACTCTGCCATAGTGAATGGGTAATCCATTGTAGCTAGTTATTGTACTTCACAGCGGCTTCCAACACAATATCGGTCTATTTCTTCGCCAATGTCGAAGCATGAAAAGAGAAACTCATTTGGCATGGGTCACCTCATGTGACCAACATCTTTTCAAAAAGCAAATGGAGAAAATAGTCATTCAGATGATTCAGTTTTTTATTTAATTAATTTTTTTATTTATTGTGTGTGTGTCGGCATACGAGGTTCTGCTTGTCTGGCAAGAAATTAACTTTGTCACGGCGGCCCGAGACAATAGCAGGCAGGAATTGCTGAGCCTGATGTTGCACTCGGGAACAGTGAAGTCATTTTGCTCCAGTAGACCACTTAATAGCTTTAGCTGATGCACAGTTTGGAAATCCATCAGTCAATTGGGCCAGACAGAGATGGGCAGTCTTGAGAGTGTCAGCATGCTCAGTATGGGGAGGAAACGGGTTGCAGGACAATGGAGCTGCTCTCATTATGAGCTCCAGTCATATAGATGCATTAACTGCACAATATCAGCCAATAATGGTTTGATCCAGCATCGACACGGTGCTGCTTGATTCTGTGTCGTGTGCCGTGATATGAGACGACCGGTGCAGCTTATTTCACAGCTGTGGTGTGTTTTAGTGTGACTGCTTCAGTTTTGATTGCACTGCAGATTTTACACATCAATGTCTGTTTACAGGTCTTGCAGAGTACTATTGCATATGAGAAAAAAAGTTGTATAAAACCATTCATTGTCATTTAGGTCAGCTTAAAAATGAAAAATATGGGGATGTGGAGTTAGAAAGACGTGCTTGATGCTAGTGGTTCCAGGCTACATTAGCCGCTACTAGCAATACACACCCAAATCTCCATCTGAACCCTCCAAGGTCAAGTTGCATTGTGGGTAATGGTGGCACAAGGGATGCTAATTCAACTTTTTTAACCAACCATTAACCGACACGGTTAGTGCCTAACAAGCCGCCCAGCTACAACGATATCTGATGCATAAAACGGGTTGAATCCATCATTTAGCAACACAGCAAAACAGGGAGAGTCAGCGGCTACCATGTTGCGTGCATTGTTATGAACACACGCAGCCACTTTCCCACTAAGTCTCCACTGCATCTATTAGTTTAGCTGCGAGGTTTAAGCTGCAAGTCTTCCCGACATCAGCTGTCAGGGTTCCTGCCAGTGTGTTGCAAGTTCAGCGTAAAGACAGTGAGTGTCCGGTCAAGAGAGTGAGTGTGTCGATGAGTATGATGTTAACAGTAACGTTATAGCTGTGAATGTAGCCGTGCAGTGTGTCTACAGCGGAAGCCACAACAACGGCTGATTTAGAGTGAAGGTGCTTAGCTCTGAAGTTAGCGACGACTCTGACTCACTTAAAGTGGGCTGACCATTTAAGGTGGACCAGCTATTCTCCTTTTAGCTTTTTACATTTTTTCATATTTCTTTTAGCTGTTTAACTGAATTGGTCAGTCAGAATTCAAATTGTCGGTTAATGGTTAAATGTTTTTTTGGGGGTTTATTTGGTTACGATGCACATTAATAAAACATGAATGTAAATGCGCCAGAGTTAGCCAAGAGGCTAGTTTTCATCAAGTTAATTATTAACTTGCTTAGTAGGCGCTATACTTTGATGAGAAGAGAGAATAAGTGGGGAAAAAAAGAGATTTTTTTGTTCTACTGCATTGATTTTCATCCTTTTTTTTTTTTTTTAAATGTTACTATTGTGAGTCCGACTATATATGGTAAGCGCAATGCTGAATCTGTGGATCGGCTTTACACCATCGGCTAAACACCTCATACTCCAACAAGTAGTTCCCCGCAAGGAAGCCTTTCTGAATAAATCTCTACTTTAGGCACACATCGTATCTAAATGATCCAATTTTTTGTTGAAATAAGTTTGACCGAACGTTATTAAAAATCCCAACCCCATATGGATTCCCTCTATCTTGTCATCGTGTGGACGGGAGGGCAGACGACCCGAGCCTGTTGTGTCAGTCTGTGAGGATCTCTTGTCAGTCCATTAGGCTCCCCGCTAACCTCAGTGTCGGCACTCTGATCCGACTAGTTAGGATTGCGGGCGCATTGCCGCCAATGAAGTCACCGACCTTAGGGAGCCTAATCAGCCGTGGTGATGGTGCTGGGTAATATGAGGGAATTGGTATTCGCTGCGTCCCGAGTTTAATTATTTATACTTTTGCTTCGAGGTAGAAAGCTGGATTTGGTGAAGAGGTGAGTGACTGCAGCAGAGTACATGACGAAGAAGAAGTCTTTTTATCGTCAAAGCAGCAGCCTTTAACGACTCATCTCACGGTGGCGTGGTCGTGTGTCGTTTCTCTTATAATTTATTCTCACTGTGGCTGATCTCTTCTGAATTCAGTTGTCAAACTACATTGTAATCATTCGAGGAATATCCTTATGTAAGCAGAAATATTGAGGGCTGAGCATGAAAGATTCAATAGATGAGGAAGTCCTGCAGCCTACCGGAATAACTTTAGCCCTTTTATGTTACTCCTGGTTTTTAAGTACTGATTGAAAATGCTCATTGAGGGTTAATATCTGTGTTGCCATTTTAATTTTATTAGAAATTTTGATTGTTATTGATGTGATTTTCAGATATTTGCTGGTTGGACATCCTAAAGTGTTTGGATTGGCTGTTTGTCCTAAAAACCCAGCAATGCGCAGCTGTAGTTGTGCCAGTATGCCGCACAGTTTCTCATCACTGCTAAGCAGCTCAGTCCTCTTATCAGAGGTGTGGAGACACGGTAATCAGCCGTTAAGAGAGGAGCCTGCATTAAGAAGCAGAGCAGGCTCATCTGTCTCTCAATCAAAGGCTGTGCACTCTGTTCTGTGCATGCAGGGAACACAATGGAGCAGCTGAATCACAAACGTGCACTGGGCACACGGATAGTATTATTTCATTATCACAACGAGTGACAGACAGATCTGTATTCTTTTAAACGTGTGGATCAACAAATCGACTGAGGACATCTTTCATCTCTTTATGTCAGCTCACAGCCAGTCCATGTGCTGGCGCAGGCAGAAACAGGAGCTGTTAACGGCAAAGACAGCTGCACACTCAGCTTTAATTGCATGACGAGTAATTTAGGCGATTATACCTATTTTAGCTTACTTAAATGTTAATCAAGCAACGTCTGACGGAGCTAACAGGACGGGGAAATTGTAGAAAGCTTGTAGAAGTATGTGTTTGTGTAGAATGAATTCTACTGCCTGTGGTCGTTGCTTTACAGCATCCCACACACACCAACGCACACATTTGTTGTAATACAAGGCAACACTCTCCTCTCATAGTGTTTTTGTTGCCTAAAGCCATTTTATTCAGTTACTAATTGTTTAAATTTCTTTGCCGACTTTTTTCTACTTGATGTGAGTTAAATACTCGCGTCCGATCGACACACCAGAGCTGAAGACGGGGGTGTCTGCCTATCTCACCCTCTCCCCTCTACACACAGAGCCTGCCAGGCTACTGATTTAAGTCCTTGTGACAGGGAGAGCTGAGCCCCATCTACCCCTTCACATGCAAGACTGCTTTTTTAAACCTTTCTTTGCCGAGGATTGGTTGGACTCGGCACCTCTGCTCTTTTTCCAGCAAGGCCCAGTAGCACGTATATTCAAACTGGGAAAGTAATTTGATAAAGACTGCTGGCCATATCCTCAACACTTTTGAGGCTACTGCCTCCATTAATGGCCCTAATTTTAAGGATAAGATATAAAAGCTTTGTCTGTTACTGGATGGAGGCTGACGATAATTACAGAGACCTTAATTAAACACAACACAGCATTGTTCCTCTTTATTGCCATGTCTAGTAATCAGTCATTTACTCCTAATACTCTCATTAAGTCCCCCTCGTTGTCAGCCTTTGCCTAATTAACTCAATAAACTAATGGCGCACACTTTTTCAGTTTTTTCAGAGGGAAACTTATCCTCACTGTAAAATTCTTTAGCCAGCAAAGAAAAACCGTGTCTGTTCCTCTCCCCCTCGTATTAGAACTCCTCTTTGTGAGTGAAATTCTGTGTTGTTTTTTTTTGGCACCTCTATTCGAGATCCTGGGCTGGAGCTCGCCGTGTGTCTGAGCGTGTGAGCGAAAATGATTTCCCCCGACCTCCATCGTTGGCCATGAATGGAAAAGATGGCGGCGCGTGTCTCCGGCTGTTAAACAACACACGCCGGCTCCCAGCACACTCGTAAATTACTGCAGCGAAAGCCTCTCCCAAGACCGCCTTCAGTGAAAACGGTTCAGTCGGTGAGGCTGCGTCCCATAACCGGCACCGCGGCTGTCAGTTAGCGGAGTTTGTGGCTCAGAGACCGGGACTGTGTTTACAAATTCTAAAAAGCCACTCGGCTAGATGCATTAGTTTCTTTATTGCCTGTATTGTGTCACACGTAGAATAGTTGTATTTTCTGTGCTGTCTCCCTGTTGAAAGTACTTCAGGATACCAAAGGTTCAGTGTGGGTGTTGTAACAGAATATAGCATTTAAAGCTAAAAAAACAAAATAAATCTGCAACTATCGTGGTACACGATTAATCATTGAAGTCATTTTCTAATCCAAAAGGCCATTTGATGGTTCCAGCTTCTCGAATGTGAGAATGTGGTGCGTTTTCTTGTCCAACATTAAAGTAAATGTATTCTGGACTGTTATCTGATATCAAGACTTTTGATGACATCCCCTTCTCTCTGGTAAACTGATATTTTTCACTGTGTTTTTATAGACCACGTGATTAATGGAGAATCAACATAATCGGCTGTCGCAGCTTTATAGTATCCGCCTATGCCTAAATTAAACATACTGGAGGGTAACCAGTGCTCTGGGATGGCCTCTTATCCACCTAAAGATTCCGATTGGCTCCACTAGCTCCTCCAGTCAGTGAAGTATGTTCACTCTGCATTGTGTAACTCCACCATGACACCAAAGCTGCAGGACTTGTCTCAGCGTTTCCATGAACCGAAGCTGCAATTTCATTTGTCATTTGTGGATGCACACATTTCTATTGCCTTTCCTCACACTCAAGGGCTTGTGTCCTGTCTTGGTGGTGAGAGGAAATAGTTGCGTGTTGCTCCTCTGGCTGTGTCTGTTAACATCGGGGGGAATTGTTTTCCTGATCAGAGGTTTCAGCCTGAGCTGCGTCTGAACGATGGAAGATGCACTTTCTTCCTCCTCGATGGTTATTCGGTGGAGGACAGTGGACACGTCTGCTCTGCTCTCTCTGTCCTCTATTTGCCTTCTTTTTTTTTTAACATTTCAATATTTATTTGTTATAATGTACAAAGCTAAACATCTAGTATAACGTCAACAAGACGACACAAGCAACTCATCTGCTGGAAGAAATGCTATAACAATGATTTATAGCCCACATACTGCTTCTGTTTTTTTATGACTCACTGCTGAATGGAGTGAATATCTGTAGTTTTTAAAATTGTTTACACGAACTGTTTCCGGATCAGTTCACTGTCTGAATGATATGATTTGAACATTTATGGGAAAAAAGATCTACAGCCACGTCTTTTAGGAAAGCACCCGCAGGGCTCGGATGACTGCTTGTGTGTTTTTCGGTTTTTACATCGTGGCCTCACACATATTGCAGCGTAGTGCTGCTGCTCATTAACACACACACACACTGTACCACATGCATGTTGGCAAAGGCGTGGGAACAGTTTGGGCTGTATTTTCAGTGTGTGCTTTTGTGTGTTGTCTGCAGTACTGTGTTAATTGTAGGACAATTGTGATTATGGGAAGGATAGCAGAAAGAGCCACATCACTACAAACATGACGCACGCTTCTATCCAGTGAAGCCTTTTCATTCCCACACCCACGGGTGACATCTGACAACTGCAAAGGTTCCGCTGTCATTACTCATACACGCAACCAACAGAATAACATCACATCTGGTAATAGAATTACAAAAGGTGTATTATAAAATAAGTCTTCCACGAAGTTTGTGACCAAAACATTGACATTGCATAGTATGTGTACCTCGATCCACTGTTCTTTAGTTTATCACCCCTCAGTGTAATGACCACAAAGATGCTTTTAAAAAGCTCCGCCTCCAGGTTAGCAACACAGCAAACATAACCACGGTCTGATAGTTTTACTTTTTTGTTTACGTCAGTTAGAAATGATAAAGCAAACCGACATTGAGTGGGAACATTTTTGGAGAGTTGAGGCTGGAAATCCTCGTGCTGTTTCTCTCGGAAGATAATGGAAATGATTAATGCACATGTGGTGTAACAAGATTTCAGCTCTATTCCCAGGTGCACTTTAAAAGACATTACATTAAATCTGCTTCACCACAGAGTTATGATACAGTTTGGCGTTCCTAAGTAACCAAAATCAAGGGTTCTCAACAGTAGACCTAAATAACAAACTGTCTATGTAACATCTGGATTTCTATCAAACTGTTGCTTATTAATATGGTTAATCGTAAATACGGGTAAAGAACAAGACTCATTTTAATTAAATATTTTAGTGGTACAAGATGACTTAACACCTCATTGCCTGACATCACCTGATGTCAACAATGCAGAGGATATTTCATTTGTTATTTGTATGCAGTGCTGGTCAATGTAAATTAGAGACGCTTGCGCATTTCAGACACATTTCTGTGCGTTTCTGTGTTTTAGAAACACACAGAGTTATTATCATTTGGTTGTGCTTTTTTCGTCCTCTACCTGATGCTGTGGACATAATTTAATGATCCCAGACAAATGTAAAAACCTCCGAGCTTTCTCTCCGTGTGTGAGATGAGGTGCTTCATCACATAGATAAGCTCGCAGGCTGAGGGACGGCCACAGCAGAGAAAAGGCACACGAAAACCGCCTGTGACCGACCGATCGGTTCTTGTGAAGTTCGTATGATTAATCCAACGTCGCAAATTTTTACGGAGGGCGATTTGGTTGCTGCCTTTCCCAGGCTGCTGTTTCCCTGCTGTGGAGACAAAAGATGAATGAACCTATCGGGGCTATTATCGGGGGTATCTCCCTTCTCCATCACGATGGGGGGCAGTAGACTCCGATAATCCTCTCTTCACTGAGGGGATCCTCTAATCCCTGCTAGACGCGGGTGTCTGGCCTCGTGCATTCCTCAAGATGACTAATGTACCGAACGGCGTGTGGAAATGCATATGAAAAGTGAACTCGTATTTACACAAGGCTCAACGCGCGCAGCATTAACTGAATGATAAATACCTGTAGCAGGGGAGGCACAGTGAGCATCTAATGGCATTTTGAAACAGTTAAACTGACATCGTTGCACATACTGCGTATTGATTTACCAGTTAAACAAGAGCAGTACAATGCTAAGAAATAAGACCAAACAATCGTCAATCTGTACACACTTTTCAGCAACTTGTGCTTAACCAGCCACCTAACTGATTGTTTGTACCTTCTTTCTCATTTCGACAAACAATTTGTTGCATTTCTTCTCCAAAGAAAATCGATTTGCTCTATTATAATAACGTCTGCAAAGTTTGTCTGCATGAAACTCTGTTTACAAAACTGTCTCCACAGCTTTTGTGCCCACTCCGAAGGTTGCATATTGATAAGCGCGCCGGGATCTGAATCACAATTTCAGACGGTAATTTCAAAGTCCAGTGTGAAAACTTCTCTCCTCCCAGCTCCTCTGCTTCATTCGTAATCATCAGCATACACATTTCCTCAGGTTAGCTGCTCGGGCTTCTCCTAGCTGTAGAAAAGCACTTTGGAGCTAAGTGTGTGGGAATGAAAAATGTCGGTAATAACAAATATGATCGGGACTGAGGGTGCCTTAAGATTGATGAATGCCATTTGGGTTTTTTTCTGCCCACAAAGGAGTCATTTTCTTTGCACCCCACCCCATCATTTCATTTCCCCAAATTAAAAATAGCTGTCATTATTCTTCCGTAGTTTAGGCTAATGCCATCGTGATGGTGAATAAGTAGCCAGTTTGTCTCTCCTCACAGCGGGAGTGTGTGCACTCTCTCGTTGGCCTTGATTTCTCTTTGTGGTTTCTAAGTACACTACAGTCCTAATGTCTGAAGACTAAACAGTAGGTCTGATAGTTTGTTGTCTGTCATACATCATCTTCATCTGTTAGTTTAGCTTTACTGCATGCCTCGTACCTACTAAACCTTTACGTTGGATAAATTAAGTTCATCTGTAAATTGTGTGCTCAGTAGTTGGTTAAAAACCAGCACTCTTATTTGTTTAATTACAGAATTTGTGTCAGTGCTCTCTTAGCTGTTTGGGATTTCTTTCATTATGTGGAAAATAAGGACTGCAGACCATTAAAAATGGGCTCAGATGTGTTAAAAGGGGTTCTAGTTACGGGAATAGCGTTTATTTTGTTTTCTCATCTGAAAATATTCATGCTTGGAGAGCCCCCATCTAAACACAAGCCAGTGGTTTAATCACGCTCTCTTTTCCCCCCCATCCCTCAAACTTTGTTTTTTTTTATTCCCATCTGCATTGTTGTCTCTATTGAAAACATGTGGAAAAAGCGAAACAATTGTGCATTCGCTCCTAAACATCCCCTCGCTGCATCCTGTGATGCCGGGGTTAATCTAGTGTTATCAGATTGTCTCTACTGACTCATATCAGGAGGTCAGCGGTGTTGATAAGGACGCTTTAGTAATTAATTTGATTATAGTTGTATTTTGTGAGAATGCTGGCCTTCAGCAGCACTACTTTTGTTCTGTTGCGTCGTCTGTATTCAGCACAACAGACACAGTATTTGTGATGAACAGCTCAGAACTCAGAGGGGGCAAGAAGGCTTCAAATACATCACAGGAGTATGCTAATCTGATGCTAATCCCAACGCTAATCTGATGCTGACAGAGGTGCAGGTTGTGGAGTTAATCACTGGGACTGTGATTTCTTTAAAACTTGCAATGAGAAATGACATTTTGTCACCAAAATATATAACCCCAACTAACATACAAATATGATTCATGGATGTTTTACCTCGACCGTCTTATTTCTCTTTAAATTGAATTTAACTGGACCAAGCTGCAGTGTAACAGTTACAAAAACATGCAGAAATATCCAGCCCTGACTCCTTTTAATTATGTTCACAAACTTTACTACCACTTTAAATAGGCTGCTTTGTGGAAACACAATATCACCCAGATTGTGTTTTTATCAGCATAGTGGCAAAAAACCGATTCTGCTGAATGCGTCTGTGAAAAATGAAATTATTGAAAGTTAATGTTGATTCTCTTGGTCATCAATTCCAACATTATTCCGTGGATGATAGGAATGCTGAACTGTGTGAGCAACTCATCACGTCGTGAATGTGTGAAGAGAACAGGTTGCAGAGTCTTGCATGCAGAGGAGCTTTCAAACATGGCATCAAGATGCTATTGTGCCTCTCGTATACAGCATGTGTCGGCATGAATGCACATACACGTCAGGATAAGTGATAGAAATCTTATCACTGCCAAACATGGAAGGAAGAGAATAAAGGGAACTGCTGTGACATGAGATATTTTGTCCGATGGGTTCTACTTTATTTGACGGGTACAGTACATTGTGCGTGTGTGCGCTTGTACACGCTCTATGGAATATGTATTGTAGTGGGCTGAGATTATTTTTGTTATGCAAGTCCATATGGGTTCAGAAAATGGTGAAAAAGAGCCCAACGTTACGTGTTCCAGTTGCTTGTTTGTCTCAAGTGACACAATAGAAATCCTCACTTTTGAGAAGCTGAAGTCACAGAATGTCTGGCATTTTCCCCTTCAATCAATTGCTTAAACAATGATCACAATTTTGTATTTGTCACCTTATTGTTTAAGCCCTATTGTATGCCGTCTAATTATGTGTCGTCTGCTTCTAGTACAAGTTAATTCAATTCCATAACAGAAGCAAAAGTATTGATACTAAAAAAAAAAAGTCCACTAAAGAGCATGAAGCACAATCAGTGGAGCCCCGAAACTGCAGAAAACCTGCAGAAAGCAGAAGGAAAGTCTCGCTCGTGCGTTCTTTCGGTAGGTATTCGGCGGCTGCCGTCAGCAGAGAGGAGCGCTGTGACCTTCTCAGTGGCCTGAGAGTGTGTTGGCGTGGCATGACTGATGCAGATTATCATAGCTGGAGAAAGCCAATTACCGTGGTCATCATAGCACCCTCGGGGGCCCTTTTCAGTGGAATGAAATGCATTACAGAATTCTATGCGCATCCTTTCCGGCAGCGTTTTTGTATTTCCTCCACGCCGATCCGCCCAGTTTGAGTGTTAATAGCGCAGTCGATGGGACCCTCCCGCGCCTCAGAGCCCTCTTTGGCTCGGATGAGCTTCTGCTCCACAAAGCCGGGAGGTCGTGCCTCTCGGAGAAGCGGATGAATTACGTTCTCCTCTGGTTGTCGTCTCTCGCCATTCAAGACAAAGCCCCTTTTTATTTCGGCCCCTTCTTAACCAGTCTCAGTGAGCGTCCTTGAATGACTTCATGAGGGGGAAAAAGTCTGGTTGCAGAGTTGTGATGGAACAGAACAAACAGCAACAGATCAGACCTTTTGTTCTCCTTGTTTTTTACCCCCAATACAGATTTGCTACAAGACCAGAGAAGCTGAGATCACACGCGGCAACGCTGCATAGCATGTACAAAGACCACAGATCAAGCAGAGTCTGCGGTAAGAGGCCTGAGTGCACCTTCTAAAGGTCTTATTCTGTGTCTATCTCAGAAGCTCGCTGTCTTTTTAGATGCCTCAGCCTCTGAACCTGCCGTTCTCCTTCCTGGATTTGCATTATATTCCTTTATTTCATGTTTATTTTTGCCGTTTTCACTTTCTTTTTTGTTCAGACATCAGAATCCGCCGCATCCTCTCAGTTACTAGTGTCAAGGCTTCTGAATTCAAAGTGTTAATCTCATTCAAACTCAGACATGTGATCATAGAGGAGTCTGACATGGAGAGCAGTGTGACACACACACACACGCTGTTACAAAACTTTTGAAGCTCGATGTTAATAGATCAGTCTTTTGCTTGTTTTTTTTGGGTGCTCATGTGAACAGGTAGCTCAAGTCGAGATTTCTGAACTTGCACGCAGTTATTCACAACACACCCAATGGCGGCTCAATCTAACCAGCACATTTACAGACGCTGTGGAAACCAGAGGGACGCATCGTGAACCAGTATGTACTGTTGCAGATTTTTATCTCAAGCTCAACAGTTTGTTCTTTGATTGCTCAGCTATAGTTAATAGATACTAAATCCCTCACATGGTTGTGCATTCATTCATTGAGTACATTTGCTTCCTAAAGAACTGTTTAAGGTGCATCTCAATCCCTTTATGTTCAATAACCTGCACAGCATTGTGGGTTTTAGCCATGCTGGTGACACTCTGTCCGTCAGAGGTCGGTGACTCCACCACTTTTGTTCAGACTCAAACATCTTAACATCTACTAAATGGGTTTGCATGGAAGTTTGTACTTTCATGGTTCCCAGAGGATGAATCCTACTGACGTTGGTGATCCCCTGACATTTCCTCCAGGGCCACCATGAGGCACCAAGAGGTTCTTCACAGCTATCGAATGGAATACCATTCAAATGTTGTGTGAATAACTTGCGTGGTTCCCTGACTATAGCGCCATCTCCAATATTTCCGTTTCAAACAAAATACGCGCAAAACTATTGACATCCCCGTCAGCTTCAGCTGTGCTTCGTGGTATGTGCTAATTAGCTAATGTTAGCATGGTAATGCACAAATGCAAGACGGTGAACATGGTAAACATTACTCCTGCATGACATCAGCGTGTTGGCTTAAGCTGAAGGCACCACTGTGTTCAGCCTCACAGAGCCACTAGCATGGGTGTAGACTCAGTGTTGTTACCTTGTGTCCTGTTGGGCTCTTTCTCTGCCTTATTTCGCCCTTCTACCTGCCACTGAGCACCACACTAAAAACAGAAAAAAAGGAACGCTCGTACTCGTTGAACGGACAATTAGCTGTTACGTAATCCTGTTCAGAGAAACATATTTAATATTCATTGCGCTAGGCACGGCTTTAATGTGTCTCTGTGAGCCGCTATTGTACTTTGAAAAACAACGGGACCCTACAGTACATTGTTGGAGGAAAAGAAATTGAACCAAGTGAGAAACTGACACTGCTTAAGCGAGAGGAAAGAGAGGGGGGATGAGAAGCACCTCTCTCGCTGGGCTCCGGCCGATGAGTGTGTCCTCCCCCATTACTCTCACACAGCGCAATATGCAGGTCAGTCAGGTGATAACGAATGCTCTGTCTGATACTCGGCCTCTTTCCCTCCCTCCTGCTCGTCTGGTCGGCTCCCTCTGTTGTATCGTCGTCACCCTTTTACACTACACTGCAGCGTCTCACACAGTATTTAGTGTATTCACCTTCAGTGGGTTTAATTATCTGGCAATGTCCCTCAGTTCAGTCATGTTGGGCAGTTTATGAGGCAATGAAGACGTCAAGTCTCTTCCTTCATTGATTAAACACTGACTTATGGCCAGAGTCTACACACTTTCTCAGCTAATTTTGTGAGTTTAAAGGAACAAAAAGAGAGAAGACACCTTTGTGGATCGATCACTCGCCTTGAGTGTCCACAGTGCGCTCAGGATTGGACGAACTACTCAAATTCTGTGCACACCACCCCCCCACCGCACGACCGTCTGCAACAAGAAGGGAGGTGATAATGCATTCAGCCAGCGCTTTGCTAAAATACGTGGTGCTGGGTTCCAGGTTTGATGTGGTGACATTCCTCGTAAACTGTTTTTTTTTTCTTCTTCTCATGTTGAGAATGAAGCGTTTTGATTCGTAGCATGAAATACCAGCGACGCTGGTCCTTCAAAGCTAGATGTGGTTTCTGTCATGGTAAGAGATGGACTGCAGCCGGATGTACAAAATCCAAAATTTTTTTGATGAAATACGATTGAATTACTACTTGACTGGAGAGAATTCAGAAGAAAAACAATAAACGTCATATTTGCATTCATGTTTTCATTTAACATGTCACAGCAACTCATTTTATGCAAAAGCACAGCTATTTCCCATTATATGCAGATATGCACATGACTATTGTGTTACAAAGGGGGCCAATGGTTTCCAGAATCAACTAAAATGTCGCTGCTGTCTTAAAGACAACAGGATGTCCCACAGTGGCTGTTTTGGCGACTTCTTTGACCCACATTTACACTCACTGTTCGTCTGGTATTCAGAATGACGCCCATATTTCACGATTACAGTCATCAGAAGAGAGATGACTAATGCGTTGCCAGAAAATACAACTCATTTGACATTTACTAGTTTATTAGCGAGGCGCTTGTACTCTTACGATTCACGGCTGCTGTTAAATCTGCAGGTGTAGATCAGCACGTAGTTTACTATGTGAATGGATAGATGTGCGGAAAAATAAATGGGTCTTGTTGTTGTTTTTCAAACTCAGAGCGAGTTTCCACTTTAGGGTCTCCAAAGTCTCTTCATCCCACATTCTGCCGCCTTATTTTTGTTGACCTCTTGGTGGCAGCTAGATGTCTGTCTACAAGACTGTCTTTGTGTGAATGTTGACTTGGGGGTTTGAGCCTGTGTGCGGCTGATGGCACATTTGCTTCCAGGAATCACAACCAGCTTGCTGTGCCACACAGCTGCCAGGACGCAGCACGGTGCCCACCCGCTCTCGTAAAACCGCTTTTGCTCGTATCAGAGGACCTGCAGGATTTGAATGCAGTGCAGCAACGTTGTCGAACAAACAAACACTGATTTGTGATCACTCCTCTTTTTGTGTGTGTGTGTGTGTGTGTGTGTGGCGATGCATGAGTGGTGTTTTGAGTCAAGTGATTCCCTGGCTGTGAATTATGGCCGGGCAGCGAGTGCTGTTTAACAACATTTCAGCGGTGCAGAGGGGTTAACAGTTATTTTGCTCTCGGTTTGAGACTCATTGCCATCAATATTCATGCTGAGGGTAAATTCTCCAGTCATAGGCCCGGCCTCCGTTTTGGATTTAGCCTAATCCGGTTTCCAGAACAGATGCTGTCGTCATAAAGGCACCGACTGTACTCTAACTCCCTCCTCTCCTCTTCCTCTCACGGCAAACATGGCTCTGCATCTCAGAACACGTTGGATTCAGTTACACTTGATGGCATCCTGCCACTCCTACACAACTCATTAAATTCCTCCCAGGCAGGAACACACCAGTACGTGAACTGGGACACCGTGAGACTCACCTAATGAGGTGCGACGAGTCACCGCAACCTTTCCTGTCCAGACGATCATCTGCTAACCATCAGTCAGGGGGCAGGGATGTGAGGTAAGGAGGAGGAGGAGGGATAGGTAATTAGAAAAGGGAAGGATTAAGGATGATGGAGGTCAAAGATAACTAGCAAGAAGCCAAAAGACAGAGATGTCCAACATCGTCGGGACACATTTCCGTGCTGGCCGTCTTCCTGCGTGGAGGGCAGTGAAGTTAACGACATTATTCACTCGTGCCTGAGCTACAAACACATTTGTGATCTCAAAATGGACGACGCCAAATACCGTCGCAGTCACTTTAAACGGCTTTCCTTCCCGTCTCTGAAGGCCTCGTGGAGCTGCTACCTGAGCCCCTTTTGTTTGATTGGAAAAGGGCATATTGGTACAGAGTAGAGCACTCGAACCAAGCGAAAACAGCACTGTGTGTGATTTGGCAAGTTACTCGATGGAGACAAACAGTGCCGACACCTCACAGGACAAATAGCCATAAATGTTTAGTGAAAAGGGAACTATTGATGAAAGGAGTGCTGGTTGGGAAGAAGGCTATTCCTCCCAGAGGCCTGATTTTACTACGATAGCTCAGATTTCATAATCAGTAATTGAATTTGAATAATTAATTTTATGAAACACTTCCCTGTTAAATAAACAAATGAGCATGAGATCTTATTTAACAGAGTTGACCATTCTATACATTTTTCTTTAATATTTCAAGCCTATCTGACGACATGAGTTCATGATTTATGGAGCTTTTATCTGTTTTCTTTATTTTTTTTTCACAGATGGTGAAATCTTTCGGCCAGAATGAGTTATTTCACCTCACTTTTAAGCAGTTTATTTGACTAAAGAGGCCCGTAACGTCACCGAACACACACATTCTCATACGAAACCATAAAAGCCGAACCGAGAATGCTTTCATCTGCTGAGGCAGGGAGGCAAATTAGTGTTTGATTTGAATGTTTTGCTACACTAAGCAGGCCACAAAAAGAACATCATTGTTTTAAAAAAAAAAAAAGGAGACATCAGATAAACATCATTCCCTAGGGACACTGAAATTGAATGAGAGCATGCACTGGCTGTTACTCATTACTACTGGCTGACAGGGGTAATTGAATTCTGCCTGGGAAAAGAAAAAATCAGTTTATTTCTCCTCCTTTCTGGTGACCAGCTATCGGTTATTTTACATCCCTACATGCAGATGATGGATGCGTAACTCCTGGCTGATAACGCTGTGTTTGTAGCCGCTGATGTGTCTCTTAAATTTGACCTTGATGTGTGTGCATGTGCTCTGGGGGATTTTTTTATTTTATTTTTTTAACCAACCCACTTCACAGGGCATGTGAAGCAGGGAATAATAGGCTTGTCCATCCAATATTGTTCAAAGGCTAGGCTGCGGTCCAAATGTGAGAGGAAGACGGGTCCACATATTACTGTGTCATGTTTCAGAAGTCTTTCCAAGAATCCTCATTGTAACGTAGCCTGAACAATACATTTTGGGGGTGTTGGGTTGGTTGCCTAAAGACGGTTATATTTCGTCCTCAGGCCAGTCTGTTTTGAAAGTGTGGGATTTGTACTTTAACTGAAACAATAAGTCTGTTGATGCTAATAATGTAGTCGGAAGTGAAAAAGATGCTCTTTCAAAGTTGTTTTTGGATCGACCTGCCAGTTTAGATTCTTGTTCAGTTGTACCTGCGGAAGGGAAGTTGTCTGTTGGTATAATTTTAAGTTGACTTCACATACGAGTTCGTACGGCCAATATAACCTGGAAAAGACATGAAATTTGAAAATAGCAATTTCCAGCCCCGGAGAGCTTTTGATATTCTCATAAACCCAGAAAGTTTTGGAAAAGTGATGTAACTGTGCTTCATAAATACCTTTTTATAACAGAGGATACGTGGTTCTGAGAGAAGTCTCTTATGTTCGGGCGGATCAGTTACTTCACTTCAGACTCCAAACTTTTATTCTTATTCTTCCATGTATACACTGATGGTTCAGAGGAAATATGTGAACCCTGTTACATGTACATCCAAATCATCCGTCACCACTGTCTGACTGTAAACATGCAGTTGTTATTTCCAGGAAGTAACCGTGGATATCGAGCAAACGCTTTTGTTTTCCGAAGAAGAAACCTGGTTTGTTTCTCTAAATTAGTCCGTTGCTGTAGTTACAGTATTTGCTGACAGCGGATGAAAGACTCGGTGTAGTACGTCACTCTCATAACCGCACCTTGTTTGTGGAACGGTGCTCTCCTGACTTCACAGTGGGCTGGAAATTGGTAAACACTTTGATTTACCTTTTGAAATGATCGTATGACGACAGTGGAAACAGACTCATTGGTGGAGCAGAGGAGAGAATAATTTGATCCTGAAGATATTCTTCTAAACGTGCCCACGGCCTTCTGACCTGAACTGCACAACCTCAGTTTAGACTTGTGTATATATGGATGTTTCTGTTTATGCATGTGTTTGAATGCAGCTCTTCTTTGACTCCTCATACAGTCAGTGGACAGTTTATTAGCCAGACATGAGATCTGTGTGGAGCCATCAGGAGACCTGCTGAACCTGTATCATCATCTCGAGGGTCCGTTGACTTGAGCCAGACTTTAACGTGATCTGTCTCCCTTCATTTATATTCTTGACACAAACAGCTGTCAAAAGTAAATACCAGAACAGACACGTTGTAAAGTTTGCCAAGGATTCGGTGGTGCTAAGCCTCCTGGAAGGTGAGGAACTAGGTCATGGGCCGGTTCTTAATCTGCACGTGTCGAAACACAAGGACACGATCATTCATTTCAGGAAGTCGACGCCCAACCCAAAACGATGGATATTAAAGGGAATGAAATTGACCTGGTGGAAAATCAAATCCAAGTAGATACAACTTCTAATCAGGTCCAAACAGCATCTGCACTCCTTGAGAAAAAAGCACATTTTCAGTGTGTGCATAATTGCATGTGTGTGCGCTGCGATGATGACTCAGAAGTTTCATTGCGTCTGTTCTGTCCTTCTGTGTTGTTTGCACAGTAATTGCACGAGATCTCCCCACCAAAGCACTTTATGCATTCAGCTGTTTTTTTGCACCGTCTTCATATGAAGTGATCTCGCTTTTGTTTTGATTGTTGCATTATGTGATTATGGTTTCATAAAGAATGTGTTTGCATACCTGGCGGCAACCAAATTTTTCCTCTTGTGGGATAATCAAGTTTGACTTGACTTGACTCCATGACCACGTTTTGACATGATGACACACACACAGACTCACAAGGTGAAGACAACACCAGCGATGTTTTCATGGCTGGTAACAAACACTGAACATTATAATGCTCATAAATGTGGTATTAATTGCACTGCAGCAGTTGAGGCAAAGTGTATCTAATACAACTAGTCTCAACTTTAATGAATAATAAACCTGTTTGACATGCTGTTGCCATTAGGAGTTTAGACTGAACAATAACATTGCACAGGTGATGTCAGTGTCTCATCCAGAAGCCAGACTGAACCAGACTGAAGGGAGTTCATGCTATCATAAATAAACGACTCAGCTGACCACAGCAGACATCATCCGCATCTCTTTTCATGACTTCACACAGCTTGTGACTAATTATGGAAGCATAATAGTGTTTGTTCTGCTGTTTTCCGTGTGTAATTAATCTTCCGGCTTTGTTGATCAAACCAAGAATGCATTCACATCCTGAGAAGCCTGTGCCCACATTTAAACATATTTATTGTTCACAGCGGGAGCCAAAGATGATGTAAATATTTAGTTGGATGTAGTTGTAGAGTGGTTACACTGTGGGAAAACACATCCTGGACGTAATGTCACAGTCTTACTATTAAAGGCTGCTTCACAGCCTGCAGCTTCATCTATGATTTGAATCCTACTTATTTTAAATATGGACAGAAAACAAACAGTGTATCCTGAGCTTCGGGGATGAGGGGAATGCCTCTCATCACTGTCTGAGATATTGAACTGATGATGTCTTTGCGTCTCCTCCTCCAACTGGCAGGCTACAGAATGACACCCTTCTTAAAAGAGCACAGCTGTTCTAAGTTTGGGTGAAATAACCTCGCTTTTTAGGGGGAATTAATGTTGTTTTGCTGCACCTCAGAAAATGTGATAGAAATCTGGTTTATGTGGCACGCAGCTCGGGGAGTGGGTGGTGTTGTTGAGTGGTTCCTCCTGTTCGCTGTGAGGGACTTGCCGTCGGGGGAAGTTCGGCTGCGGCTCTCTATGAAAACGACACCCTCTCTCTCTCTCTCTCTCTCCACGGTCCCTCCGGTGCTCGAGCTCGCCTCCACAGCACACTTGACGAAGAATACGAGCACGAGTTTCTTTCTTTTTTTTCTTTGACGGTGACTGTATATCGGCCGCCCGGAGAGTTCGCCCCCCCTCCCTCCTCCCCTGAAGCGAACTGCTTGTTCGGCTTGAGCCGCGAACCGGGCACGTCGCGAGGGCGGGCTCGCCCCGCCGTAGCTAAAAAGGTCCCGCTTCGACGGGGCTGCTCTCATTGCAGTCCAGTCTGCCGAGCGGAGCGGAGACTGACTGAGGTACGAGCCCCGTCTCCATTCAAGGATTCTCTTTTTTTTTTTTACACTTCGTCCTACAAGCAGACAGCCGACGGAGAATCGCACCTCGCCTTCTGTGGACAATGTTTCTCTTGCAGTACACAGGTACACGCTTCAAGTTGTATGCACACGGTCTTTATGTTGGCAGCGGAGATGTTATTGTATACACACACACACACACACGCACACACCGACTATCCGTACTTATGTTGCCTGCAGGCTGGACGTCAGGTACCGCACGAGTTGTTGGATGCAAGTTATACCGGCATGCTGGGAGATTTTCTGTCCGTGTTCAGTGCGTAATTGTCGGGTGTACAGCGGCTGTTGAGACCGCAGAAGACGCGCCGTGCTTCCTCTCTCCAGTGTGCCAGGGTTGCTTTTTTTCCATTCTCGTGTGCCTCAGCACTTGTGATGTGTAACGGTGTGCTTTATGTGTGATAAACGACCAACAATGATTCCTTGTTTTGCATTTCACTTATCGGTACAATAGACACGAAACGTCGCCATTATGTTGACTGACACACGCCTACTGCAGCTGTTCGTAGATGGAAGTTTTCAGAATAGATCACATCCACGCTGACGCCGGATTAACTGCTGTTAAAATGCATTATTATTTTGTTCTCACATGCCATTCAATCCGGTTTTTATTATATCCGGGCAGCGTAACGGAGCTCTGTGAGACGCGTTAGGCCTGTCTTGCAGGAGGGTTGCGAGTTATAAGCTGAATATACAGAAGTTGTTTGGTTTTTCTTCTGCTGTGACGTCTAACTAATTAAGATTTCCGTGTCATTTATTCCCGAATCACCGCTCACCGCTTAAGTAGCTGGATGTAAATGGGACGTTTCCCTCCTGGGCTCACAGGATATAATCAAGCGAGGATGATGCTGTCTGAACTCTCACTTTAACCTGCTTACTCTGCTTTATTCAGCAGCCTCCTCTGTTTACGGTCATGGTAAATTTACCTCCGATGTCCCACAGCTCCTCTGTTGTTTATGTCGTCATAGCGCTAATTGCTACTTTCCTTTAGCTCATAAAAGCAATGACTTGTCAAGGATTAGTCTCATGGCATTAATTTGCCGTTTGTCATTGCAGTGAGTCACTAAAAAACATCCACTGCATTTCCAGTTTGCCTGCTTATCCCTCACCACATGTTAGAACTTTATAAAGTCTTTATATGCTTCTTCTTTACATTTAGAAACAGGCTAATCAAAGTAAGGTTTAATTAACTTTCCAATGCAGCTACTTGTTAAAAGTGTTTCAGTTCAATAATTAGAATAACTTCACAGTGCATGATTATTAATTCAAACACGTAGTTAAGGACAGACATGACATTATGACTGTGCCTTTGACCAGAGGATGTGTTGTTATCGCTCCTCTCTGATTGGAAAGTTGTTGTTCCTCTGCCGCCACGCTGTTGTTGTTCTTGCGCAGACAGAACGGATCAGTTCCCTTCTCCTCTATTTCCTCTCCATCCAGAGGCACAAACATGCTCTGAATCAAATTGAGTGAATGTGGGCAACCACCGGGAGAGAGAAAAGGTCCATCAGGCCCATGTGACGGCCATTTACCTCCACACTGCACCAGTCCTCTCCGATCAATCCTCAGAGCATCCTTAGATTGCCTTTAATGGTGCGAGGGAGGGGGGAGGGGGAGGGGGCACTTTGCTCAGATCTGTCAGAGAGAAGAGATTTAAAGGTTGCACATAGAGTGCTTGAGAAGCAGCTTAAATATTTCAGCTCTCTTTGGCATAGGATGATAGTGCTGCAGAACAAATTAAGACTGAATACCGAGCAGACTACTGTACAATACCGGGAGATTTGGCAGCTTTGGAAACTCTCCGCTTTTAATTGGCTGTCGTGTGACAATTTGTGGTTACTAAGTGGGATTCTCATAGCGGTAGCTGTCGAGGAAAGAAATGACAAAAGGGACGAAGACAAAAGAATAAAGTGCGAAAACAAAGAGTCCTAGATGACCCACAAATATCGGATCTGGTGGAACCAGTTCCCCTAAATAAGCCCAAGTGGGAAAGTATTTGTGAGACAGAACTTCAGAAGTTGATATCGGGGAATCCGTTATCACTGGAAACTTGGTTGTTTTAAATACAGCCTCATACAGGATTCTCCCAGTTTGCCTTTCAGAAGAAGAAGTTGCCTGAGAGGCTGTTGGCGTTGTCGTGATATGTTACAATCCATGTTAAGAGAAAGCCCTCCGTGATCCACACCGTTTCCTCCTCAACCCTCCATTACCAAACAAAATCCAATCATTAGAAACTTTTTCACACAGCTCCCAGTGGGATAACGGTGTGGATGCTTCTTCACACACTTTCCAAGCTGCTGGGCTGCGTTTGTCACCTGAGCCCCCTTCACGTGGTGCCATCTCTCCAGCGCACCATCTGCTGAGCTGATGTTTAAGACTGTCGCCGTAATAATGAACGTTTCACTGCCACACCACTCATCCTAAATCTCGGTGGCAGGCTAATGTGGGGGTAATGATCGTTGTTTACTCCTCTGTTCTAATGCTCACTTGTATGTTCCCTGCAGGAACATTCCACTTGGTCTTTTGAAAAGCAGCAGCAGCATTAAAAGATGCGAAAAACGTTTGGTGTTGAAGAAAAGTATATTAGCTTGTGTTGAAGATCCCTGTGAGGATCAGCAGTGTTGGCATCAGCCGCGGTTCAACCTGCCATCTGGTATCGTGTAGCGAAGAGAGCTTGGCAGTCTGAAGGCAACCAACTCTGGGACTCCAACCGTATCACTGACAGAGCTCTTCATTTCTAATCACTTTCACAATAAGCAACCACGCGGGGAACCTTGAAACCGCAGCTAAGGACTCTGCAACGGTATGCGCTCAGGAGCGACATGAAAGATGAAGTGAGCCACCAGCCTCATTCTGCATTTGCTGTTTCTGAGCAGTGCGTTGTGCGGTGCTGCCGAGTTAAACCCTGCTGACGGCTCCTTTTGAGCAGAGGAGAATGGGGAGGCACTCTGAAGACGCTGGATTAGGGTGTTCATCGGGGAGTCGCTGGACAACTTTTCCACGTTTTCTGATCTGCTTTTAAAAACCTAAAATGAAAAAACTTCAGTCCTCTACATTAGTCACGATGTTCCGCGTAATCTGCAGTCCCGTGTGTGTGTGTGTGTGTGTGTGTGTGTGTGTGTGTGTGTG